CCTTGACTTTTCCATTCACCAAGATTCTCTGACTCAAACTGGTTCTTTTTCATCAACCAACTTCAGCAAAGATCAACCTGAACCTTCAGATTGCATCAAGTCTCTCTTTCAGACAGACGAGACGTGCAAGTATTCAAAGTTAGTTTTATTAATTGATACATTAAGTATCATTGGTACCTTTTTACAAAGGTGCGTTTGAACTAAGAATCTGATGTTTCCTTCAGGCTGTAAATCTGCTGAAACACTTGATGTTGTTCATTGTTTGCTCATAACTGGAGTCCCTTTTTGGAGATTTAAGCTACAGGCTCTTTGTAAAATTGTACAGTAAGAAAGTTATTTCCCTTAACCAGGAAATTTACGTTCTTAGAATTGACAGACATTTGACTCTGAGAGGTCAAGAAAATACTTACAGCGGATCTAAATATTTATAATTAATTATAACTAGTTATGATTAATTATTCATATTTCCCCGTGAGCTGATTCGCTACATCTTGAATGTCCATTCAAAGGTTGCTGTGTATTCTGATGAAAGAAACATAATTTCATTATATTGTAGTATAATATGATTTCATTATATTATAGATTTTCAATTTAATTTAAGCAAGAATGCTAAATTGCAAATCAAATAACATTTATGTATACACTTATTAGAAATATTTATGTTATTAGATATATATTTCCAATTTAATTTAAGCAAGGATGGTAATTTAGAAATTCAGCAAATTGTAAATTAATGTAATTGTGTACATTTATAAAGTAATTTGATTGCAACTGCATTCTTATAGGAAATATTTATTTTATTTTTAATTTTAAATTGTATACATATTTATTTTCTTATTTATATTAGTATTCAAATTGGAAGCATTTATTTATTCAATATATATTTCCAATTTAATTTCAGCAAGAATAGTTATTTAGAAATTCAGTAAATTGTAAATTAAACAATGTAATTGTGTACATTTATGTAATCATTTTTTATTATAACTGCATACTTAAAGGGAATATTTAATTTATTTGTAATATTTATGGTTAAATTTTTTATTTATATTTTATT